CCCCCCCATGTGACAATGATGGTGCTTGGCTATTGCCATCTCACACACCCAGTGCAATCACATTGGGGTCAGGGTGACAGTCTTCAGCCTTGAGTAGTACCTGTTATGTGTATAGAGTGAAACAAGTAATACAGGTTTTTATTCCGCACAACATCCAGGAATTTTTTGACTGTTATGGAAACACTGGTGTATCCACATACCTCCTTTGTAGGTGTGAGGTGGACGATGGACTTGCGGTGGGGAGCTGCTATTCAGTTAGCTTTGATGCAGATCTTTCTCAGTCTATGGTGGGTGTGGTGCGCCGCAATAATAGATAAGCTAGGTATTAGGAGTCCAAAATCTTTTATTTGGAAGGACTACGTGTATACAGTCAACATGTTTCAGCAGTTTTTAGCACGTCCTCTTCCTCGGGGATCTGCAATTTAGCTGGTAGGCATCCAGTAAAGTCTGTGGGTATGTGGCTTGGATCTTTAAAGGCTCTTGTTCATCCTGTGCTCAGATCCAAGCTTTTAGTGATCCATGGCACAAACCCACAGACTGGATTCCTACCAACTGAATTTCAGAGCCCTGAAAAAGGTGCCTAACTCCCCCCCCCCACCCACCCCCCCCACCCCCAAACATGTTATGCTGTATTCATGTTCATTCTTTCCAGTAAAAAATGTTGTTTTTTTTATATTCTGAAGTCTGAAGGTTCTCTTTCATCCAGGTAACATGGTATATCTGTAAAAAATAAGTCAAGGCAACTGGACTCGCTGTATTTTTCTTGAAGAAGTTTCACTGGTCATCCAACCAGCTTTCTAAATTCATAATGCCTTGTGCAAAAAATTGTCTGGGAAAAACTTGCGGGTATCCAGACTGTGCTTTTGTCAAAACAGAAAAAAGGAGAGGAAATAATGCCAAGAGTACCGGTAAGGGTGAAAAGCATGACAAACGGAAGAATCAGCAGCTGGTTGTGACTAACAGATTATGTGGATTGGAGCAACATTCACCATATTCCCAGATCATTTTTTGTACGAGTCATTCTGAATTGAGAAAGCTGGTTGGATGACCAGTGAAACGTCTTCAAGAAAAATACAGCAAGTCCAGTTGCCTTGATTTATTTTGTTCAGATATGAATACCTGAAGGTTTCTTGTCAGTTATTGTGGCAATCCTCACCCACCAACACTTGAACGTGCATCTTTGACGGCATAGCATGCCGTTTTATAGTGCGAAAGCTCACCCAAATATTTTGTTTTTCCCACAGGCCTTCAATAAATTCAAGCGGGAAGGCTTCCTTCTCCAAAATGTGGACAAAGCCCCACTGGCAAAACGCAGGAAGATGAAGAAGACCAGCACCAGTACAGAGACTCGGAGCAGCTCCAGCGAGAGCTCGCACTCCTCCCATTCACATGATAAAACCTCTCCGTCAAAGACTCTGCAGCCGACGAGTCAATCCGAGAGCAATAACCCCGACACCATCTTCCAGTTCACGGACTAGAGCTACAGCTAGAGCAGCCTTCTTCTCAAACAGCACAGCCGGATCCAAACAGCCGCCCAGCACCTCCTTCGAGGCTCGCAAGCTATTAGCCATCCTTCTACTTTTACTGAGTTCTTTGATGTGAACCCTTCTGGTGCTGCCCGGAGGCATGCAGGCACTAATAATGGGTGCTCTCATGAACTTTTTTCCTTTTTCTCCTCTTCCCTTGTGTTTAGGGGGGAAATTGAAGACCTTCTAAGGGCTGATGCAGACATCGCAATGTCTTGCCTTATTTAACCCCAAAGCTGCTGTCAATACCAACAGGCATTGAACTTATGCAACCCGTGGCTTCGGAGCTACAGCTCGGGCTCGAGCTCTTCGTCCGCCAAGGAGCCAGAGAGCAATAGGTTTCCGCTTTGCGTACTGTGGGAAGGTGGCAACGTCTTTATTTATTTGCGCTTAACTTTGACGTAAAAAAAAAACTACATTCGAAGACTATGTGAAGAGTTTCCTTGTGCTACATGTGTAAATCCGGCCTTAAGTCTCAATAGTGTTTTATTGAGAGAGGGGCCTTGGAAGTTTTTCAAGTGAAATCATGCAGGCAGCAATTAATTTTAATTGCCTTTTGCCACCTTTCAGAGGGTGGCTGCCGTTATTTTTGCGTCAAAATCCTACTGCGTTTTACCCTGTGGGAACTTGGCATCTTTGAACTCTAGAAGAGCTTTGCAGAGGATTAAAGAGACCCCGTCGCCAGACCATTTATTGCAACAGCAATTTTCCCATACCATTTGTATATGCATACAACGCATTTTATGCATGTTATTTACCTGTAAAAGCCCGCCTTGTGTAGGCATCCAGAAGGCCTAAGGAGGCTTCTGGGTGCCGACATCTTGAATATGATGTCAACAGGTGCAGCAGACTCTGAGCTGTCACTCAAGTGATGCTTTATAGTTTTCCCCTTTCGCTGCTCTCTTGGCTGCTTTACCTACCATTCATTTATATGGCCGGCTCCCAGGGCAGCCTCTCATCTAATGACATTGCTGGGCAGTCATTCAAATATATTACAGGTACTGACACCTCCTCCACCATGCATATTTGACACTGGCATCTGCTTTTTTTTTATGGTTTTTGCAGTCATGTCTAAAAATAATGTTATGTGTGGACTGGGGAAGAAAAGGGGAGGGGGTGGAGGAGCTGGGCCAACACAGAAAGTAATAATTGCAAGTGATTAAAAAAAAAAAAACGTTTATGGAAAGGAAAAACGCTGCAAATTAGCATTTACAGTACTTGATATTTCCTGTGCTTTCACCTGTATTTTTTTTTTTTTTACTTGGTGACAGGGTCTCTTTAATTTTTTTTTCTTAGAATAGTTTTTCCACTGTGAGTCACGGTCCAAAAAAATTATAATTTTATTACATGGTAAACGGGCGCTTTTTCCCGAAAGCCTCTTCGTCTTCGTCGCTTTCCTACGTCATAGAAACTTGAACATTTTGTACTGTAGTCAGAAGGGAAACTAGGCCGCCCGCTTGTTTTATCAGTGGTCAGTTCGGCTTTTACTAATAATGTCCTGTGATGTGTCTGTGAATTCCTGTTCCATTCCGTGTCTGTCCTGTTTTCTACCACGTTGTGATACAGCTTTAATCGTCGCAGAGAAGTTTTTTTGCTTTGAGGACCAGTAATCCTAAAATTGCAAGTACCATTATGTTACGGAGCTCACCAGCACCGATTTAAAGGTAGAGTATCACCGAAGCATTGTATGCTCTAAACCAAGGGGTGGGGAACCTCCGGCCCTCTAGCTGTGGTGAAACTACAAATCCCATGAGGCATTGCTAGATTCTCACAGCCACAGGCATGGCTCCTAGACACAGATGCATCATTGGATTTGTAGTTTCACCACAGCTGGAGGGCCGGAGGTTCCTTACCCCTGTTCTAGAAGGCACATCTATACATTTGTGTGCCTTTTATATTTGGGATGCGCCGAAATTAAATTTTTAAATGAAACTACAAATCCGATGAGGCATTGCAAGATTTTCACAGCCACGGCTCCTAGACACAGATGCATCATTGGATTTGTAGTTTCACCACAGCTGGAGGGCCGGAGGTTCCTTACCCCTGTTCTAGAAGGCACATCTATACATTTGTGTGCCTTTTATATTTGGGATGCGCCGAAATTAAATTTTTAAATGAAACTACAAATCCGATGAGGCATTGCAAGATTTTCACAGCCACGGCTCCTAGACACAGATGCATCATTGGATTTGTAGTTTCACCACAGCTGGAGGGCCGGAGGTTCCTTACCCCTGTTCTAGAAGGCACATCTATACATTTGTGTGCCTTTTATATTTGGGATGCACTGAAATTACATTTTTAAATGAAACTACAAATCCCATGAGGCATTGCAAGATTCTCACAGCCACAGGCATGGCTCCTAGACACAGATGCATCATGGGATCTGTAGTTTCACCACAGCTGGAGCGCCGGAGGTTCCTCACCCCTGTTCTAGAAGGCACATCTATACATTTGTGTGCCTTTTATATTTGGGATGCGCCGAAATTAAATTTTTAAATGAAACTACAAATCCGATGAGGCATTGCAAGATTCTCACAGCCACGGCTCCTAGACACAGATGCATCATGGGATCTGTAGTTTCACCGCAGCTGGGGGGACGGAGGTTCCCCACCCCTGCTCTAAAAATAAACTTTTATTAGTCACAAACAAGCAGCGACGCTTCCAAAGCATATCGGGCAATGAAGGAGCTGATATATGGGCTCCCGAAGGTTGCCGCTTGTTTGTGACTAATAAATGGCACTTTTTTGAGCATACGATGCGCTGGTGACACTGAAGATACCACATGTGGTGACATCCACTTTTCACCATTTGCTATTGATTGGCTGGAGAGCCATTTGGATTGCACCATATTCTCTGTTTCATCTTGGTACTAATTAAAGGTCCCACGTCTGCACAACATTTGAGATATTTAATATTGTATTTACCTTTTTTAATACAAAGGTCAGTGTAACCTGTTTTTATGTTATCTGCCACTTTAGGCTCATAGAGGTTTGCCACGGGCTGCCTACAATGTCCTTTGATGGGAAAATGATCTTCTCCAAGGACCAGTATGTTATCTGTGCTATCTTCAGCTGTGACGAATGCTTTATAGTATTCCATATAGATTGGTAAATGTTATCAATTTGTTACTTTTTATAAGAGAATTTGGGTTTACAGACCCTTTAAGGCGGAGCCATGCGCAAAGAATGTTTTGTTGTTTCAGAAACAATCCATTCGTCAGTCCTTCGCCAGACGTGCACACGTAGTGCAGAATCGCTCAGCGTACAAGTTAGGTGGCTTAGTAAAGTGGATCTCCATTTACAAAAACAAAACTCACTTAGAATTAGGGATGCACCGATACCGAGTACCGTACTCAGTACAAGTGCAGATACCTTTCCAGCTCCAAGACTAGACTAGAGAAAAATTCCAAGGTTAGGAGGCGGCTGTCATGTGTAAGGAGCACACGGAGCTCCCGGGATTTGTACATCTCTGTTATAATGTACGATTTTGTTTTTATAAATATATACAGGTGAAACTCGAATAATTAGAATATCGTGCAAAGTTCATTTATTTCACTAATGCAACTTAAAAGGTGAAACTAATATATGAGAGAGACTCATTACATGCAAAGCAAGATAATTCAAGCCGTGATTTGTCATCATTGTGATGATTATGGCTTACAGCTCATGAAAACCCCAAGAACCCCAAATCCACAACCTCAGAAAAGTCGATTATTACATGCAATCAATAAAACAAGGATTGTACATAGAACAATATCGGACCTCTGAAAAGTACAAGCATGCATATGTACTCAGTACTTGGTTTGGGCCTCTTTTGCAGCACTTACTGCAATTACTTTTGCACGATATTCTAATTATTCGAGTTTCACCTGTATAAGTGACGCACCGATACTGTTTTTGCAAATACGAGTACTGATACTTCCCCAAGTACTCACAGATACAAGTACTGACACATTTTTGTTTAGCCCTCGTTCACACCTGAACGTTTTGTAGCCCGTTCTACGCTCGACGAACGCTCTACAAAACGCTCAAAAATATAAATCCCATTGTATTCAATGGTCTCGTTCCCACCTTGGCGTATTTCCGCCCGTCCCTAACGCGCTACAAAACGGCCCACGCCTGAAAAGGTACATGTACTACTTTGGGCCGTTTTGTTGCGCGTTTCCATTGGGATACAGCCAAGTAGCCTTCGGAAACGCGCGTTTGTCACTCAACTGTTTTTTACCGCGAATCGCGGTAAAAAACCGCGCGTTTGTCGCGCGACAGACGCGCATATGCAATACGCCGAGGTGTGAACGAGACCTTATTGTCATGTGGCAATTTTTCTAAAATAATACAGACTAATGATTTCAGTACAGCGGTGGAGAGCCAGAGCCCGGTCCCAGCTACAACCGCTACAACCCTGGTAGTTCTCATGAAAATGCCAAGTATCGGCATTGGTATCTCAACTGGTATCGGTGCATCCCTAATTTAGGATGATAACTTGAATATGAAAGATAATTATTACCTGTTGCTGTGCTGCCTTGAATCACATTTCCTGTCCTCTGAATAGCAGCTTTACAAAAACAAATACTTTTAAACTATAATTAGGACAAAACTTGTTTTCTAGATTTGTATAGAGTCGTGAGGAGTTCAAATCCCTGGCAGGTCCTTATTACTCTTCTCTAAAAGTGATGGGTAAATCCCAAATTGTCAGTTGCCACCAGAATAGGAGTAAAGGGGAAATCGTGCAATGGCGACACTTGTCCCCCCCGGCAACTGAATGTATCCTCTCACTTCCTGTTGAATCTACAGGGCAGGATATGAAGGAAAATCCCCCTAATGAGACAGATTATAAAACAAAAATTGATAGAGGTTTTAAATCTCCTCGACTCCATACAAGTTTGCGTTAGATATACTTTAAGTGGATGAATTTTAACTCTTCCGCCCAGCCATACGCTGCGTGAATGCCGCTTGTAATGCATTCCCACCACTAGATGGAATCGGGAAGAATGGCAGAAAGCACAGTGGCATATTGGCTACCACTTCTGCCTTGTGGCACTGGGGGGTCCACGGTTCGAATCTCAGGGCACTATCTGCAAGTGGTTTGCATGTTCTCCCTGTGCTGGGGTGGGTTTCCCCCCCCCACACTCCAAAGACATGCTGAAAGGTTAATTGCCTCCTGTCTAAATCGGCCCTGTATGTTTGCATGTGAGATAGGGACCTTAGATTGTAAGCTCCTTGAGGGCCCATTCACACCACATCCAGATCA